TGGTATCAGAGCTTTTGTTGGTTTTATAACAGGAATAAATAAGAGATCAAAACTATATCTGGGCAGCTAATGAATTTAAGAATCAAAGTCAAATGTTTATTTTGATGATCAAATTCATAATTTTTGGTAATTATTCAATTTTGAGGTTAGTTCTTAAAAGATGAACTTTGTTAAGAAAAGTAGCTTTAAATCTTGGTATATAAATTATTAACTACATTCATGTGCCTTATTCTACATCATCATAAGTAAAGTGATGTAAGTCTCGTGCTCCTAGCACCGACAGATCCAACACCAAGCGAGCACCCTCGACTTACTATATCCTAAACTACAATTTTTGACAACTTGTTTGAGCTTTCCACAAATTGAATTATTATTATTATTATTATTGTTGTAGTTGTTGTTGTTGTTTTTACATGAGTGGAGATCTAGTGTCCACATCTAACTGTCTTAAATTTTGACACTACATTAACTCTTGCAAGCAAAAATTTAATTGTTGCACCTTGCAGACTATCTATATTGGTTGAGTATTGTATCCTTAAAACTTAGCGCCTGTTTGGTACGGTTAAAAAAGTTGATTCAAATTTAAGTCAAAATCAACAATTAATTTCAATAACACATTTCATAAGATTGATGACTTCTCAACCATATATTCATATACATTTATTAATGTCTACTTAAAATTTTTTTTTTTATCTAAATCATATATGGGCTTAATCTAGAACGCCCACAAGGAGCAAAATGATGAGCGAGATATCAGATCATGTATGTGTCCACTAGTTTGATTATTAAAGAGCGCTGGGACTTGTAGGGTTGGGCAAAAAGTTCGAACCGAAAGAAGTGATTTTTCTTAAATTAAATACTCGAAGGGGTATCTGAATCAAGAACCAACGGGTTTGGTTTGGTTCGGTTCGGTTCTCGGTTCTAGACCAAGATCCGAAGAATCGAATTTCTCTAAATATTTTAATTTTTTTATGTTGGATAAATCAAATTATTTTATTTTTTCTTAAACAAATTAACTAATTAGATGATTAATGTTCCAACTCCCAAGTCCATGTCTCACTAGCAACTAATTAGGTGATTAGTATTAGTATCTACTTTTTGGTATTTGCTTCTCTTGAAAATTAATCTTAATTGACAACTTGTTATTTATATATTATTAAATTAGACTACGTTAATTTGTAAAAACTAAGATTGAACGTGCCTTTAGGTGTATTTATGTAGTGTTGTTCCATTTACTAAATACCCGAAAATTTTTGGTTCGGTTCGGTTCGGTTCGATTCTCTTTAAAATCGAATCGGACCGCGCCCAGCCCTAGGGATTTGTATAAGATAAAAGTGATAGGAATAACTATATATATGTATTATAAAAAAATATAAAGCAAGTTCTCCTTTTATAATAGAGGCATCTGAATCAAATTGAAGATGGAGATACCTAAAAGAAGTTGTCATAGGCATCATAAAAAATACAAATAAACAAAAAACTAATATATAAATTCATATAAATCATGACATAACATAAACGAAAGAGAAAACTGGTGTCTAAAAGTGGTAAAAAAAAAAAGAGCGTATTAATAAGTTTACAATTACATGAAACAAACTTATCATAAAAAATACTGATAAATAAAAACTAATATTTCAATTCATATAAGTCGTGACACAACATGAACGCAAGAGAAAAATGGTGTCTAAAATTGATCAAAAGAGTTGTCCAAAGAGCGCGTTAATAAGTTTAAATTACAATTAATCATGAAACAAACTTATTTATTTAAATTATATTTTCAAACAGTCGTCTAATGTTTAAATCACATACTGGGCAGCGCCAATGGGTCCCAAAGCCCTCACTGAAATTTAGATTTTCTTTCTTGAAAATAAAATTTAATAAAAAAATGCAGAGAGAGATAAAAAAGAGTAATGTTATTTATAGTAGCTCACTGCGGCAGTCGCCTTACGCCACATACATGACAGGTGATTATTTGATACATTAATGTGGTAGTTTTTTATTGACTTATGCATCAAATAATCACCTGACATATACCACGTAGAGCGACTCCGCAGTGAGCGACTGTAAATAGCATTATTCAATAAAAAATGATGGTGAAAAAATAAACTTTTATATTCCTCGAACCCAAGTATTAATTAATTTATCTTTTAATATATAATTGATACATAGTTATGACAAGATCTATTATTTCATTGAATTAATGTTCTAAGAAAATAAATAACACAATCAGCAGATTCATGTCTTTGTAATTTGTTAATCACAAGAAATTGTGATTGTAATATACAAATTACATATGATTGAATCTTAAATCGTATGTGGTCGTATGTAACAACTAGACACGGATATCTTTATTACGGATATCCATCATATATAGCATTTCTTACTTATGAAGTAAATAGCTAGCTGATCTCATAAGCTAAAATGTGATGACACTTAAATGAACACGTGTATATTTTTGTTATAGAACAAAACATTGGAGACCCTCTGGGAATTCCACATGGATAAATATTTGAGTGTAAGTGGTTAATCTCTAACGTTCGGTAGTGAAATTGGTCATTTGACTTTAGATCATTATAGCACCTTATATGAGGACAATCATACTTTGGTGATAGTGGATGTTGCTCTGCCAAGGGTCGCTAATGTGACATCGTTCGAGTATGTCAAGAATCATATGAAGGTTGTGAATTATCAATAGAGAATTTGTCCCTCTTAGATAGTATGAGATTACAATTTACATTTCATTAATTTAAGTTAA